TTATAGTTCTGTTTAATTTGTAATTTAATTTATTAGGTTTATCTTATTTATTTCATAAATTAAATTGATCAATTTGCTTGATTTTAATTATTTACTTTTACCATTGGCTAATTTTGTAATTTTATTTTTATTTTTTCTTTCTGGGCAGATGTATCGAACGGTGAAGTCAACTGATAGAGCTGCTGCTATTTCAGGTTGAATAAATAAAAATATTAATATGTAATTATGTTGTTTAATTAATATATAAGATCACTAAGCAATAATAATATTATTTTTTATTTTAAATTTTTAACATATGTATTTTCTTAATTTTGGGCTTATTGTATTATAGGACAATCTGATGGGCTTGAAAATGGGTCTTCAGGAGATACCTCAGATGATTTCCTGTTGGACATTCAAAATTTGCATAAATCGAAACAAATTGATATGAAGAGGTAAGTTTATATCTTTATCTCCTCAGTTTAAGGCTACGTTTGGTATACAAATAAGCTAACTTACAGCTTATTTGGTTAGCTTATAAGCTCCATGTATCCAACTAAGTCTTCTTTGGTAGGACGAGCTTTTCAAAAAAACTCGAGCTTATTTGATAAACTTCTTTAGGTAGCTTTTCAAGTAAGCTAGTTGAATTTTTTATTCCAATTTATCAGCTAATTTTACCAAACACTTTTATTATATAAGCTAGCTTTTCACCTATAAGTCATAAGGTATAAGTTATAAAGCTCGAAAATTACTGATGAGATATAAGTTAACTTATCAACTATCAGCTAACTTATCAGCTAGTTTTATCCAACACAATATAAATGTAATTAACATTACTTGACTTTTTTTAGCATCTTTAATTTTTGAATTTTTAGCAAATTTTACTTGACTTTTATTGGTTTACATTTTATATAATCATCAAAAGTACTGAACAATTTCGTTATATATCAAATTGAATATATTTCATAATTTTTCAATATATTATTAGGTCACAATAAATTACAATTATGGTGGATGGTGGAATATTTAAAGGAATAAAGAGATCTAATCTAATATATCTATCTATTGTTGTATATGATTAGTATAAGACCAATATATTTAATGCCATTTTGAATTCAAGACTCAATAATTTAGCTGAATTTAATTATTTAATTCAATACTATTTTCCATTATATATATATATATATATATATATATATCAATTCAAAAAATAGTAGCAATGAGAAATTGACAATTGCATTAAAGAGTTTGGAAGACAGAGATAAATGCATGGTAATATGCACTGCTTAGTCTGCTGTCGGTCACAGTCCATTCAATAATTGTTGGATCATAGACAATAATAGATAGGGAAAAAAATATATATAATTACCCATAGTCAATGAACTATGTTAGTCTTTCAAAAATTCTATGGAGCCATCGGATGGTTTTCTTATGGAGCCATCCATGACTTAGTGTATTGACACTTGTCCAAAGTGCATTTATTGTAGGACACGTGTCAATACACTATTTGTGAATAATTGTGGATGACTCCATAAGTCGAGCCATCCGATGGCTCCATAGCAAAACTGGTTAGTCTTTATCATGGTTTTGTTAGAGTTGTAAATTGGGGAGCTGATTAGAGCCATGATCGAGTCAAATCGAGTAAACTAAATAAGTCGATAAACGAGCTTGTGCTTGGATCTTTGTCAATGTCAACGAGATGAAAAAATTGTGTAGGAAATAATATTATCGAACCTTAACGATGGGACAATTGAATTTTCGATTATACTATCACTTTTGAAACGAAAAAAAAAACATTCGTGTCACATCTTTTTTACAGTGAGAAATCTAGCAATATATAGATTTGCTACTATGTATCTCTTTGCAGTTGTGCTATGAAGTCAGCCGAAATCAGTCAACTGGTGACTTCATACCAACTAGTGGCTTCATAGCAAAATTGTATCTCTTTGGTATAAACTTAAGCATGAAGTTTTTTCATCTATAATAAAGACACATCTCTTTCTATATATTGGATATTGTGGGTTCAATTAGGCTTATTCCCAAAAAGACACAAATGTAGAGATCTAGGCACCAAACTAATTAGACTTCTCTTTCATTGAGACTTTTCTTTATTTAATTATTTTAATTCTCTCACTTTTCTTTCTTTTTTTCCTATTGGGTTCCACTATATGCATGGTTACTAAATACTAATGTCTTGTCACATGGTGGGTTTTCACTTTACTTGTAGCAAAGAAAGAATGTAAAGTTGTGTTGCAAAAAAATAAAAAACAAGTGTAATCCATTAATATGACTCCAAAAAGATAGCATTCTTTTGTTATATATGATCATTATTATTATTATTTAATTTGAAATATGTAAATATTGTTCTAATTTTTGTAGAAGGGAAGCTTGGATGCATGGGAGAAAGGGGGATTATGGAGTAGGATACATACAATCCATTGAGGTAACTTTTGTAAATTCCACATTGAAATTACAAAAATACCCATTTTTGCTCACTGTGTATGTGTTGATTAGAGGTGGCCAGGTGCCGGATCCGGGCCCGGCCCGCCGGGTCTGCGGGCCTCAATTGTTGGGCCCGTAACCGGCCTGGCAATTCCTATGGGCCGGTTCATTAGAACCAGCCCAGCGGTTCAATGTAAAANNNAAAAAAAAAAAAAAAAAAAAAAAAAAAAAAAAACTATGACCCGTCGGAAAAACCAGAACCGGTCCGGCCCGACGGGTAAAAAATGGATAAAAGACTGCCCTTAACCGGCCCTTACGAAATTTCGGGCCGGTTCATAACCGCGCTTATACGGGCCGGGCCGACCGTGGCCATGTCTACTGCTGATGATGATAATACTTAAATGTGTCTAAAAGCTAAAGATGGGAGCTTTTTCACCAATTAAAGGCAGCAAAACATTTATAATTCCCCATCTCTTTATTCTTATTAAAGGCTTTGTGAGTTGGGACAAAAGAAGCTAGGTAAAAGCCCAAAAGAAAGATCTTCATAGAAAATGATAAAAATTATTGCTTTTGCAAAAGTTAAAGGGGTGCAAAGTGCAAACACGAGGGCAATGTTAATTAATTGCAACATATAGCTTTATCTCTAGTTTTATTACAAAATCATACCTCGTACTTGAACCCACTTGTGAATATTATTACATAATTCTTCAACATATTTAAGGTAGCAATCTAAGGAATTTATACACACACACACACACACACACACACACACATTCTCATGTATTTGCTTGCATGCACACAGAATGACGATACGGAACGAAAATGCACGAGCCCTTTATCGAGTGGATCACGAACGAGCCCGAAAGAGAATAATCCTAATCTTGAGTTCACTCTTGGGAGGCCCCTTTGAATGAATTGCATCTTGTACACGATCACTAGTTATGACCATATGTAATTTATTAAATTACATATGTATGAAATCAAAATGGAAGAGAAATAGAAAAGCAAAGGGACAAAAGGAGACAAGAAAGACACAAATTAAGCAAACAAAAGGGAGGGGAGAAAAAGGAAGAAAGAAAAGAAAGAAAAATAAAGGGAATGTGATTGGTGTCAAGATATGTGAGATTCAAAATCATCTCATAATAAAATATTCCTTTTGTGTGCAAATATGGAATGTCTAAAATGATGTTTGTACTTTTATGCATTTAGGAAAAAAAAGGAGGGAAGTAAAAGCATTTTGAGAGAAGAGTCATGAAGAAGGAATTGACTATATTGTTGTTAATTCAAATTTGATAAGATACTTTATGGGGAGATGCTACGGTCCCGTTACGGAATCATTCTGTCGGGGTTTGTAACCGTTTGATCAACTATCTCCGACGGTTACATGATGATCTAACGGTTACAAACCGACAGAATGGTTCCATAACGGGACAACAACATTTCCCTACTTTATGTTTGAAGGAGAGAAAGATATATAATTCATCATGCACTTAATATATATTTATTTAAATAGAAAAGGAAATTAAAAGGGTAAATGAAAATTGAACAAAGTACTTCTTGCAAGGGGTTGTCACATGCTCTATACTCTTTTTCCTGAATCCATGTAAGAACATTAAAGGAAAAGTATAAAAACAATTAAACATATAACAAAGTTGATCATCTTCACTTTTATTTTCATGCATGTTAAAGGATTAATTGCATTCTATTATATCTTTAATTAAAGCTTGATATTAAGTGAGGAAATTTGATGAATTCTTGTGCATGTGCCCCTAATTAGTTTCTCAAAAGATTGTTTTGGACAGTTATATATATTTTGCAGATACTTGTATAGTTGTATGTGAATATAAGACTCAAAAGTATGCACATTTTAATATATATTTAAAAAAAAAAACATTTTATGACAAATGAGCTTAATAATGTAGCTTTCACTTTTTGAATATTTTTCATAAAAAGAAGTCAAGTTTTTTTCTTAGGACTTACTAGTTAGTACAAATTCTTCTAAGACAACAAAATTAAAAAAAATAATAATAATAAATAAATAAATAAATAAATAATGCATCATACAAAAACCACTCCAATGGCTATAAAATATAGTGGAATGCTACGGTACTGTACCGTCAGGTGTTTTAACCGTTGGATTATATTCTTATCTAACTACGCGTGAATCCAACGGTTAAAGCACCAGACAAGATGGTACCGTAACGGGACCGTAACATTTCCCTAAAATATTACTTGTTTCTGAACTTTGGTCAATAAAAATTATATATTCTTTTTATCCAAAATTAATAATTTTCACCAAATTAAACATATCGAGTAAAATCAACCACATTTAATTTACATTTTCACCCAAAATTCAATGCACGAAGCTTAAAAACACACGAAAAAAGGGCAAGGAAGATGAGAGGTGTGCAGAGGTCTGAATGAAGGGCAGTGGTCAAAAAAATGTCAAAATTATTGTATCATCATTACACTATCATTACTATACTCATCGTTACACGTGCCATGATCCTGACGGCTCCATTCGTGGATGGGCTGGGGGACCGTAGGATCTGAATATGGACTATGGCCTATGAGTGTGACGGGCTTTATATATAAATATATTTTTCAGCATTTTTGGCAGTGGTCGAGGCACTTTTGCATGAAAAAAGTTGAGCTCGAAAATCGAAAATGGCCCCCCAAAAGAGATGACTCGAAAGCGAATTTGGAAATATGTGAAATCAGCTCAGCTTTTTTCTGCAGTTGGAATATTTTTTCAATTTGGACCGACCGGTTCGACCGAACCAGAAATTAATACAATAGGCTACATCATCCAACCATCTCATTCTATACACACACACACACACACACATACTCACACTCGCACATGGTGTTTTGATCCAACGGTTAAAAACAACCCGGAGGTCGAAAATGAAAGGTCCAACATCCATTATAAAATCCAAGTGTATATGCCAAAATGTAGCCATTATAAAATCAAACATGGAGTACGATCTCAAAACAAACTGCAGAGGTAAATAAAAGGAGTTGGTGAAAACAAATAGCAGACAAATACCAAATTCAGTTTATACTTTACACCACCACGGTAAAAAGCAGGAGTGAAAAGAAATAAAGCATACGAAGTTCAGCAGACGATCTTAAAGGCCAGTTGGTTGGCTTCAAATGCACGCTGCTTCTTCAACGTTAGAGCTAGGTGACCCCTGAAAAAGAACATAGAGAAAATTACAGTCATTAGAACACAACTCGAAAAGTAACAAAAATGAAATCAAAAATTATAAGGATTGTGTTCGATAGAGCTAATTTACATAAAAACTTACAGGGGGTGCCTTGGACTGAAGGCTGGTAATGGCTGACTTGAGCAAATTGTCCCCAACAATGAGTCTCAGCTTTTTCACAAATGCCTCCCGACTCATCTTCTTATTCTGCCGAACATCAAAAGTCGAGAGGCAATTGAAAAGTTCAGAAATAAATTATTAGAGCAGAATAAAAGGAAAAGGATATTAAAATGTCAGCAAATCACACATACCCTGAATAGTGCATAGTTAGTTTTCACGAGATTCATGGCTTCAGAAGTGACTTTGTTGGCAATGGCAGCAAACAGCATAGGAAATGGCATCCACGGGCTCTTCGGAGCCCTTGCTTGAACAGTTTCACCTAGGACCTAGTGTAAGAACTTCTCTGAGTACAGAAAATTGGATTGTGAAAAGACACAAAAGAAAATTTGAAAACAAAAAATAAATTTTTTTTTTTGATATCCAACATTACCGAGATATATAAACAGAAATCATCATCAACATCAACATCAACATACCCAGTATATTCCCAACAGGTTGGGGTCTGGGGGTCAGTTGTACGCAGACCTTACCCTTGTAATTATACAAGGAGGCTGTTTCCATAACGACCCAAGGTGCGTTGCGTCGTTTGATATATTTTTTTTCTAGAAACTTCACTAATAGAAGAAGCACTAGAATTTAATTGAGCCATTTTGATCTAGTCCATTATTAGCACTATGCCAGGAGAATTGTCAACAATGACTCTTCCAGCTCCATAGCTAGCTTAAGAAAATCATAGCTAGCTTAAGAAAATTATGAGATCCCGCAAAAAGAAAAGAAAAAGGATTAAACAAAAGGGCTCAGTGCAATCAGGTGTCCTTTTTCTCGGACCCTTGAATCCAAGGGTCCTGGCCTTGAATCATTCTTTTCCTTTGTGGAATGCCTAGAGAACAGATTTTTAACCATAGTTATCTAATTCAAGATGGGCTAAAGCCTACCCGCAACATACCTGCATCCAAGTAAGTTATCTATGTTTTCGATTATTATAGTTTTGGGTCACGCAAACACCAAAAGAGTGTTTTTCCAAAATAAATAAATAAATAAATTTGAAGAGAGCCATGCCAAAGGAAATGATCTCAGCTAACCAAGCAATTCTGTATTATAATCAAATGGAAATTAGTCGAAAAGGAAAAATAACCAACAAAATTCACTATGCCTTTCAACATTCCAGCAGCTTTTCTAATAATATAGCTAGCTCCAACTCCAAGTACCAGTTGACACCATATTCAAGTGAACATAAACAACACGTAGGTGGCAAAAAAAAACAAATATCATGCAAGAAAAAGGATCAGGGGAAGAATAAACCCAGAGACAAAGTAAATGTGTCCATTCAAATCAATGCAGTAAAATGCTCATGCTTTTGGAGACCTACACATCTAATGCTGAGGTGACACAACACACACACACACACATAAAAAAGTCCTTATGTGCAGTGACCCTCAAAACTACCTGAATTTGAGATCGTTCACGAGTGCCGTACTCAGGAATACCAATCGCGTTCGCTTTTCCCCGAACAGGCTCTGTAGAAGCATTAAAGGAATACAAGCTCAATCGCAAAATGAAAAAGGGGCAAAAACTCAACAATAAATACGAATATGCAATATACCGAACCTTTACTACTAGAATTAAGAGCGTGAAGAATAGTAATATCTATATGAGAAATATATCAAAAACAAGCTTCTTATCATTTTACACAGCAGGCGAGTTCTTCGGCAGAATACACTACAATAGTACTAGAGAGCGAATGATGAATACAAATATGCAGTAATCAAACTTCTTCTTAAGCAAAAGATGTACTCAAAATCTTTGTCAAGAGAAGAAATTTCAGTACAGCAACCAGCACACTTATATAACCGATCAGTTTGGTCAGTCACAAAATTAAATACTGAAAGCTCAAGCCAAGCATAGTCAAGAAAATAATAGAAGTTCAAAAAGTACGGAACCAAGAAAATACAATTTCTTACATAATCCATGAAAAAAAATAAAAATAAAAAAAGAAATGCAAGGGTAAACTACTACCTTCAATATTTGAAGTCACCTTGAAACTTACGACACATTCCGGATATATGTGAGTGCTCATGTTCATGTTCCATACTATATAAAGATTAGGATTTTCAAGTCTGTCAACACCGCTATCAAAGTCTTCACTGCTGGGAAGGAACTGATCTGAACCACAGCAAATAGTCTCCATATTCCCCAATATAACACGACAAAGTACCATATGTCGTGTATCATTTTCGTCAACATCAAAAAAACTGGTACTGAAAAAAAAAATAACCAAAATGTATAGTTCCAAACAAGTGTACAAATAAAAACAGCATTACCATGGACTTCCAAATAAGAAAAAAAAAAAAAAAAAAAAAAAAAAAAAAAAAAAAAAAAAAAAAACCTTCGAAATTACATCAATCAATATAAAATGTTTAAGCATTCGAGGCAGTGCATTATGAGTCACTAGGAAACAATACAAAGCAATAACACCCTTAAGAAGTCAATACAAACGTCATTTTTCATAAAAAAAGATGAACTCTCAATGGAACAGATCTGAAACATAATGCCATCCACCCACATAGTAAAAGAATGGGAAATATTAAGCCTAATGAAATGCAAAAGAAACTTTTTAACCATAACTATATGCATTTTCGGAAATTGCTAAACCAAAATATCCTTTGCTTAGTTGTGTCAGCTAAAGTGCACCAGTTTTACACATCATCGACCACTATCTCAAGAAAGATGGATAATTTATAGATATTTCATCGAGTGCAAGACACAAAGGAGTCCTTCCTCACGCTAGAGCTACTTCACCATACTCTGGCAAAATGTACTTCTATGTGATTGCCCCATACCAAAACTTACTCTTTTTCGCCACTGAACTTTTCTAGTTTTTTCTCACGGTAAACATAAACAAAATATGTTAACAACCAATAATTATTTGTTAAGTTTCTTAATTTATTAATAGTTATAAACCTAAATTTTTTGAACCAATGTGAATTTTGACCACAATCCATATTTTTGTAAAAGGGAAAAAAAATACTTGCAACAGCATTAGAAAAGACTATATAACTAAAGTTCAATCAGAAGTAACTACCTAACAATTAGAATCCTTTTCTTACTCTTATTTTGGTATAGAAATTGCCAATATCTAATATACAGTCAAAATCAGATTTAGTTCATTTTCATTAACTTTGCCAGATTTTTACTAACATATCATGGTATCCTAAACTCACATATTTCTACCGAAGAAAAATAAATTGTATGACATTTTGCTCAATTGTCAAGCTACTTTCTGAAGAAGAACAGAAAATGAGATAAAACACACACACAAACACACATTACGCTTTACTTTCTTATGACATACATGTTAAGGTGAAAATACATAACAATTTTTAGACTACCTAAGTGCAGTAACTATAACATGAGCCATACAACCAAACCACTTGTTTAGGATGGTCAGTGTTACCCCGGTACTTTGGATTGCAAAATGTACAAAAGGTAGTTTATTTAACATATCTAATGCCAGGAATACTTGTCATATCTGCAAAGATAACATAACACATTACACTTCACTTTCTGAGGACATATTGAAAGGTGAAAAAACATAATAAATTGTAAACAATTAAGTGCAATATCTAAAGCATGGGTCAACGTATGACAGAATCTCACCACAACTTTCCACTTCTACAAGGTTTAAGATGGTAAACTATGAACTCATAAACTTTGGATTGCAAAATCTAACAAAAAAAAGTTTATTAACTTATTCAACACCAGGCACACTTGTTTTGTCAAAAAAAGAAGGAAAATAATAGTTGTGATGAGTCATCTAAGTGAAGAACACCAAATATGCACAAATTCACAACATTATCAACAGTATTCTCCAATTGTCATGAAACAGCAATAATAAAAAAGAAAAAAAAAAAAAACGGACAAACACTTCGAGCAGCCTTATAATAGCCCAAAAAATAGTTAAAAAGAAAGAGTATAAAAGCCAAACCTGATCTGAGTGCCATTTGTAGGGATTAGATGTAGCCCATTACCATGCGGAGGATTGATTTTAAATTGATCATGATAGGCCACCCCATATTTCAGTACAGCTGAAACTGTCCGACTCGAACAAGGAAGCCACGCATATTGGACATTGGCATCACCACGGTACCTTTTAGTGATATTAACCTGCTTCTGAAAAAGTTCCAAACGACCGTCCATTATTATGCTCATGCAAGGACGTATATCAACAATGTTTGCACCTAATGAGCCAACAGCTTTTAAAAACAGCTCCCTCACAGCATAAGAGTTCAACGGCCTATCTCCAGTATTAGCAGCCAGGATCCTTTTTCCTTCCACTTGTTGATAATCCTTACAATTCTCATCAATTTCAACGTCTGATGTTTTCCCATAAATATTGGTTTCGCCACCACTATCTTCCTTTGCAGTATTATCACGAGCTTGTACATTGACGACAATCGGAGCAGACTCCGCACTAGATTCATCATTAAATCCTTGTATCTCAATCTCTAAATTCAAGTTGATTCCATTGAGATCCTGAGTCTCAGCACCCTGGTGACCACGGCCTTCGGCACCAAGATTTTCATCGTGAAGACAAAGTACTTCTGGAAAGAAACACTTACCCGAAACATCAATCCAAGCAATAGGCTGATGCAGACCAGTTTTCATGTCCAACATAATCATCTGCAAGAAGTCTAGCAAAATCATATTTCCATCAACCTCGACTTCCACAGCAGATTTCTTAACAACAAATTCTTTGTTGACAGCTGTTACAATGTCCCGGGAGAAATCATTCCACTCATCATTGCAGCAATACATTAAACGGAACAAACTCCCACTTCTCTTGAAGTTGGAATAGTATTTAAGCACACATTTCCCAGGCAGAAGAGAAAAATTGCAATAATTGCTTTCTGGTGTCTCCAATTTCCTCCGTTTAGTGATATTGCAGTCGGCAATAGGAGAAGACCTCTGAGGCAACAGCAGACGAATGGGCCCATCAGAAGTGATCGAGCGTGGGTCTGATTGCTTTCTCTTAAGATTAACAACTGCTCGGCAGTTATCCAATACCTTTCCGGCCTTTATGTTCATCTCGGCCTAGTGGATGAATGCCTGAACACCAGTTCAATGCCAAGAAGGCAAAGGAAAAGATTTCTGAGAACTTCCTTTTGGTTTTGACTCAAAGGAACAAGGCCATTGGTAACAGCGGAGACAACCTGAACATAATATTTTAACCATAAATAGGAAATTGCAACATCAATAGAGCAGTCGCCATGCTACCTCTTAAAATTCTTAAAATAACATGAGGGTTAACCTCTAAATTTCTGGTGATTCAACTTTAATACACCTGAGCATACGGGTACTAACACGCAGAGAGAGAGAGAGAGAGACAGAGAGAGAGAGAGAGAGAGAGACAGAGAGAGAGAGAGAGAGAGAAAAATAATCACATGACAACGTATTCAAGTGCAAGGCTTATAAGAACTCATTGTTGGTTTTGCGTTTAATAAGTCCAAAACATCAATAAGAAACGAGACTTTAGCTTTAATAGGAAAATCGTCCAGTACCTATGGAAAGGTGCAACGCTTAAAGGTTCATGGTTCAAGCTCTAACGCCTAAGTGAGATCGTCACTAGCAGAAAGTACACTGTCGGTCAATAAAAATGGGGCACGCAGTAACTACCAAGATCGATATATCCACTATAAGTAAACACGGTTGGGGGGGACCTAGATCAATCCATATGACACTTCCATAAACAGAGTTTGCTTTCAGAATACTCACTAGCATTCCAAAGTTGATTAAATGTGCTACAACACTTAAAGTGACTCGTAACAAATTTCTAACTGAACAGGGCAGAGCATGCGCCGGATAATTAGTTAAAAGATTTATCTGCATGCAGGCACCACTTGCACCAAAAGGTAATGTTAAACAAGATTTTCCTCTCAGAAATTGCGTGTTAGGCAGAGAGACGGGGAGAGAAGCAGCAACAAGAACAATAACAACAAGTGAACTTAGAAAATTAAACATATTAGTCAAAAATAACCTGAGCAAGTTTGATTAAACAGACAAGTAAACCTAATTCAACAATGCCTTAAACAATTCCATCTAATTTCTGAATTCTGAAACATATTAAATCTACAGAAAGGAAATGCTTAACAAGAGTCTCAAATCATTAGCTTGACACTAGCACATCGCTGCTGGAGCTTCTGCTCTGCATATCTAGCCTAGATGTTTATCCTGTTATTCTAGAGAAAACTACATGCATTGATGCAATTTAAAAAGAAAAATTAACATATTCTCAGTTACTAGTTCTCTCCATACAGTAGACTGATGGAACGTGCAATGGGTGATGACAAATGCTCAAGCATAAAAAAATTACATTTACTCAGTTTGAGTCATAAAAACTATTAAAAGAACGCCACCAAATGATAGCTGACAACAAGAGATACAGACTTCAAGAAGCATGTCTCCAATCTAACTAGTAAATGGAAATCAATGCCCCAAGCTACAAAGAAACATATGAAGTAAATAGCCCAAAATCCGTCTCAAGCATCTCGATACTCGCTACAATAAACAAATAACCTGATTCACCAGCAGCCACATTGACCTGTAATATTATGAACACAACTATGACATTGGCAGCCGAGAGTCATGTATAAGCCATCAGGTGCTAGCACGCCCACATAAATATCATCCAGTTGAAGGGACATAAATGAGAAACAACATATTACACACTAACTCTGTAAATACTAAATACTACTCAAGTCAATTCCATATCATGAATCAAAAGACCCCAAAAAGTAACAAGATGCAATTCAGCTAATCATAAAGGTTTGAAGAATTCGAATAATTTCAATTTCAGGCACAACGAAGGTAATTCCGATTCTTAACCAATCCATACTGAAATTTAAATTCCAATTTAATCCAGGCAAAACTCCGATTCTTAACCAATCCATACTGAAATTCAAATTCCAATGTAATCCAGGCAAAACTACTAACCGAATTATAAAAAGGCACATCCAAATCTTAACCAATAACCATAAGGTAATAACAAATCAAGACCACAAACCCAAAACTCAAACTGGTTTCTGAAAGCCACAAACCCCATCCTTCCAATAAACTACATGAACATGACGCCATAACCATAACCCACAAAAGATACATGTGTCGCGGAGCATTCGTATTTCAAACTAACGATAAACAGCAAAGGAATCACTTCTACATGCGCCGATTTTGGTACCCACAAAAGATCCCAACAAAATAATCATTCCCATGAATCGAAAATTCCTTCTTTACCAGAAAAAATAGGTAAAAAACACACGATTGCAACAAAAATTCAAAGAAAAACTCGATCGACAACACTTTACACCAAAAAAACAACTGAAACCGCAAACTCGAACTGTTATTAAAAAAAAAAAAAAAAATTAAATCTGCATACGAAAATTGGACATGAGAACTATCGGAAGGTGATTGCAGCATACATTTGATCAGAGAGGTCGTCGAATTTTTTTCAATCTGTTCTTCTCCAACGATGATGCTGCTGGTTTTTTTTGAAGCCCTAGAAAAAAAAGAATAAGGGAATCCAAAAAGTGGGGATAAACTAAAGGCCACCGCCTACTATTTTGCGTCGTGAGAAATATAAAATGACGCAATTGCCCCCGTAGAGTGCTTGCGCCACAAGTAAAAGGAAGTCTTTTTGTTGACGAAAAGGGTGTTTCTGTCCATTCAGTGACGTGTGGGAGTAAACAAACGAAAAATCGTTCTATCAATTTGGGATTAAGTGTGTGATTATGGCGATAGTTACTGTAATTGATCTTAATTACTTTTTGGGAACCTGTGGAGTGAGATTAGAATATAGGATAAAATACTTTTTCCCATCCGAACTATCACGGTTTTGGCGCATCACCATATAAACTATTTTTTTTTACAAACCACCATATGAACTATACGGGTTTGTCAATATGCCCCCTAAACCGGATATAAAAGTGGTTTAGGGGGCACATTGACAAACCCGTGATAGTTCATATGGTGGTTTGTAAAAGTATTTAGGGGGCACATATGGTGACCAAACAACTTTTTCAGTCAAAACCACTTTTATATATGGTTTAGGGGGCACATTGACAAACTTGTATAGTTCATATGGTGGTTTGTTAAAAAAAATAGTTTATATCGTGATGCGCCAAAACCGTGATAGTTCAGATGGGAAAAAGTATTTTACCCTAGAATATATTCCCATAATTATCAATAGGTCAGTTAGATTGGTCTCAAATTTCGTGTTTAGCTTTTAATTGAGATCGAGTAGGATGTATTTAGGTAAATTATATTTACTTGAATGACTCGTCGAGCACTCAACCTTGTAGCATATAAGGTCGCATTTGAGTTTGAGAGTGCCCGAGCTCAATTTTTGTTTGGCTAGTAGCCAAGTTTTAACTCGAGCGCTAAGAGCTTGCGAGCTGCTTGATTAATCCACAACCTCAATTATAGATTCTTCTTTTGAGTTTTATTAATTTTATAATTTCTATATTTGATAATACTTTATATTGATATATATTTATATTTTTATTCATGTATAATGCTTTCAAAAGTATACAATATTTAGTCAAATTAAATTATACATAGCATAATGTTTAATATTTTCTAATATTTATCGTTATTTCTCATATGTACTTTTACATAACATCATTTTTAATAATTGTATTTTAATATTATTCTTTATTCGAAATAACTCACTTTAACCAAACAAAACCGATCAATAACCATTAGATTCATATCCAATTGCACCCTTGACAATTTGAGTAATCTCCAATCCCCCTTAAACAGTATATTGAGAATGATATACCACCACAAGACAACCAAATATGTATACATCATATCCATCACTCATTACACCTTTACTGCTCTTGCAGCTTCCTTAATCTGCTCGATTGTGAAAACCCCAAAGCAATCGTCATCGTTGATTGCATTTACTACGGCAGATGCAAGATCGTCCACGCTCACTGGAGGTGCCAATACCAAATCCGAAGCAGGCAGAGAGTTCAAAGGTTTGGTGAAATTCTCCACGGCATTCAGAAGCTTCTCCAAAGGCTCACCTATCAGGTCGAGAGGGATCTCAAACCCGTCCACTTTTCTCTTTCCGTATATGAAACCCGGCCTGAACACAACACCTGTGTTGTTGAAAGGCCAAATCGTGAAAAAAAAATTCAATCGGATCCAATAGCCTTTTCCATTGCAAGATATTTAATGATTTAGTTTTACCGAGTTACTTTAACTAGGTGCATGTAAGAGAATGAATGAGAAATGTACATGTAACTATGTAAGTATCGAAGTTTTGCTGTATATTGGAACAAAATAAAAGGAAATTGTGCTATCTTTTATGGACAGCGGTTCTATAGTAGCTAATCGGCAGAGTAAAACATCTCCCTGTTCATGAATTCCCATTACTTAAAAAAAAAAAAACCAACTACAACAAATACACAAGCATAGATAGTATTAAGCACCTGAAGATGGATATTTGGATAGAACCTCAGATTCAGCTTTTCTTTTTCCGGTGAAGTATCCCGATGAGAGTAGAAATGATGGCAGATTATAATCGTGGACCGAGATCAATATAAACTTTGGGATACCTGCAGAGATAAAAATACTGATAGCTGGATAGGCCATGACCCCATGTAGGTAAAATATCCATCCACGAAGATGACAAATTGATGGCACGTAAAATTTATAAAACTCCGAGCAGCTGTCATGCTGAATGACTAACCAAACAAGTGACTTTTCTTTTTTTTTTTTTTTTTTATTGAAGTTATTTTCTAAAGCTTCATCAGAATCTGGGAAAACTAATCCACAAGGACCACGATCAACTCTCGAAGAAGTATTTTCTGGATAAAATTAATTTTATTACTTTATATGAAATTACAAATTTAGTGCTGATAGTATTTTGGTCCTTATAAAGCACATATGACACAAAAGTATGACACTAAGCAACACTAATAAGACGCGCATATGACACAAAAGTAGGCAAAATTCAAAGCACACATGAGGAAATAAACACAGATTAAGCCTTAAAGTTTCCCATTTTTGGTAGGTAACATTGATAATGCAAAATGGATGCTTCTTCAGAACCCGAAGATGTACAAAATCTCACCATATTCTTTAGCAGCATTTACAGCCACAACATTAGCCTCCCCATTGATCCTTTGCATCTGCTCCTCACTGCCAAAACCTCCAAGCGTGGAAACCACTGCTGTAGCCCCAGGAAGCACTTCGTCCCAATTTGCATAAAATACATCTCCTGCAAGATTCCAGAATCACATAGAAATTTATCCTCCCAAAAATCGAAAAAATAAAATAATAACATAAACTAGATGGAAGACGAAGATCATGAGGGAAATTTATATTGGTACTACACAGGACTTTCTAACTTGGAGGCATAAGGGTTAGCAGAGAGAGAGAGAGAGAGAGAGAGAGAGAGAAAATGTAAAAAAAAAATAGGAGTAATTTGCAACACAGAATCATCTGATGAAAATGTAATCACAGTTACGGTAGTCGTATTTTCTCTTTTCTGTTCCTTTTTCTTGTTCCGTTGCTTTATTCAAAACATTGTCTTTCAATTCTTAAAGGATCATTCTCCACCACGTGTAAGAAAGCAAACAAGTAAGTTGATGGAGCATTTACATTGTCTACGACTCTACGGGCTCGCATGCGAACCTTTTCAATTAGATTTTACCAATCGTTAAATTACAAACATCTGAAGCACACAAGCAACATATGAAGCACATGTGTACTTTACAAGGTAGATGAAAAACAACCACTATAGGGAAAAAAAAAAAAATGTGACCCATCCACTATTGACGAGCTATAAAACATGAATCCAGTTCGTAGAATAATTAGGGAGACAGATTTATATTTTATGTCTTACATAAAAAGTTTAAAAAAAAAAAAGAAAAAAAAAAGGAACCTGCCTGTAAGCCAAGTGACCTGATCTACCCACGAGCCTGAGTAAGAAGGCCTTCCTGACCTGTTCAAGAGGTGATGTTCAGTATCTATAAGTGGTTATAATCTTGGAGAAAAAGCAACAACTTCAGTCAAGATGCCAAAGTTACAGGGATATACGTCGATGGATATGAGAATACAACATATAACTTTATAGGTTCTATAAAAGAGAAATGTATACACAGCTTCTTGGAGAGTTCATTCTTTGCACCTGCTAATACTAGTGACCTCTATACCCTTTGATACTGCAGCCTTGCATATTGCAGAACCCACAAAGCCACTGCCTCCTAATATCACAATCTGGTTATGAAACAGAGGCACGTGGTAGTCAGTATAAAATAAAACTACAGCTTGAGTGTGTTATTATGAAATAGATCAAATGGAATTAATCTGAAAAACTTACTCGCTCAGTCTTAACCTCTGCCACAACATCAATTGTGCCACTTGCAGGATTGTTCCTAATGCCAGGATCAGTGTAACTGCATTTGATGCCAATCTTGTGTGATCTACAAGAAGCAATAACAAAATAACTTTGCACCATGGACTGGAAATATGATAAAGCGCACACATAATGTCAGCCCAATTAAACAGAAACTGCCAATAATTCCTAATTTGTAATGAAATTACAACAAAGGCCTATGTCATATAAAGGCTAAGCTATCACTAAAGAACTCGACCCAACTGGGTATTATCATAAACTTCAGTGATCTACGCTAAATCGGAAACTTCAAGAAAAAAATTGCTCATTGCAGCTCATCGTTCCAAAAAATAACCAACTCTGTTCTCGGTACCCGGGAGGTGGCTTATCAGCCAATATACACTAATAAACTAGTAGTCACGTCAGTTACCATTTGAAATTATACGATATGTCTCAATTCTTTGGTAGTTTTAGCATCTGTTTGGAGTTTGTCAGCGGTGAAGGTTGGCTCGCGTCTTCTAAACAGCTGGCTTATGAGTAAGCTTGGGCCACATCCCTTCCTAACTAAAGTACGTATTAACAAGAAAGATGACACATGATGTACACATACGTATCATGATGCCCTTTTGCTTCTGAGCTAAGGAATATCGGTGCTCGTAACACAAATAACCGGTAAAGGGCTCTTTGGCTCATGATGTTCGAGGATAAGTGGCCGTAAAACTAATGAGAAATCTTCCCACTCTTGGCCTTGGCCACTAGCTGAGGAGACAAACCAAAGGAGGCATATCCCACTTTCCTCAACAGAAGCTGAAACTTCTGATAGTAAAGTTGTCGAAAAATATATCTTCGATGCTGATCGACACTCTACGAAGTGTCATAATTTTACTAGGCTAAACAAAGTGTAAACCAGTACCCAAAAAAAAAAAAGGATAGGAGTATAGAGTTAAAAGCAAGAAGAAAAACTTAGTAAATAAAACACATCTTTGAACATTTCCAATAAGGAATAGCACCTTAACTGTGGAGCAGATGCAACACATCTGACTAAGATATACAGACTGATCTACCAAACTAATTTTTACAGCTAGGTTATTCAATTTCAAGCAAATAAAGTTCACTTCAGACCTCAACTGGTGAGATAAGATGACCAATATAAATAAAGCACTTGGCTACTACTGTAACTATATTACTAATCAGTTAACAGCTTAAAGAGTTGCAATAATTCGCGAGAACATTTCGGGTCTTGGGAACAAATACTCCCTCCATTTCAAATTATAAGTCGCTTTGACTTTTTCAGTACATCCACTTTGCTGTGTATCTAGATAATAATATGTCTAGATACATAGCAAAATGGATGAATCAAAAAAGTCAAAACGACTTATAATTTGAAACGGAGGGAGTAGTTATCAGTAAACTCGGAGCTTTTTACACCCCGAGTATAGCACACAAAGCCACATATCTTCATCAACATCAACAAGCAACCAGTTATAGCTAATGGGGGAAATCTGGACCCGAGACGGGTGATGGGGCGGGTGACGGGGGTATTTTCCCTAATGGGGGCGGGTGACGGGGGGTCCCCCCAGCGGGTTTGTCACCCATTGCCATCCCTACTAAGCGAGCCCAATATACAAAAACTGAACTTTTCATTCCTGCATATCGTTATAACAGCCAAATTGAACTAATTAATTAAGGGGGAAACGAAAAGAAAACACACATAAACACACAGTACCATATCTATCTGAGTCAAAATGTCAAGAACAACCGAACATCGTCTTCCAATTCTACCTCAATAAACTTCCCAACACGGCGAAAATTGGAACATAAGCTCGGAGACTAGACAAAAAATTCAAAGTATTTGAATTACCCTTTGAAAGATTGCTTATTGACGAGCGATGGCAGTTGCCCGAACCGAGTGTAAGAGAGCTTGTGACAATTAGGGCTCCCACAATAAGAGGGGAGCATTGTGCTGGATTGTGAAGCTGCTGGGGATATGGAGGCACCGCAAGGCAGTGACGTCATCTCCCCCAACCTGTGACAATTATCGCCAAAAAAAAAAAAAAAAATGCAGCTTGGGAGTGATCAGTGATGGCTTAGCAATCACCAGATTTTCAAGAAAGTTGATTTTTTTTTTTTTTTTCAAGAATTGTATGTGTAAATGTAACTTCTGTGTGTTCCTTTTCTTGGGAAGAAAGAACGATCTTGTGTGATGGTTTAATTGTGGTCATACTTATTAGTTGTTACAATTTTTTATGGCCATGTACTTATGTCTGGCCAAAACTAATTTGTTACTACAAATTTTCTGGCTATGTAACTGTGTTTACTTTTTATTGTTTTGTAGATGTAGAAGAGTACTTTATATTTGAGAAATGTTGCGTTATCGTTACGGTACCATTCCGTCGAGTGTTTTAACAGTTTGATTCGGTAAAAACACCTGAAAAGATGGTACCGTAAGGAGACTGTAGCATTTCTCCTTTATATTTAATTTAAAAAAGGTTACTTAAGAACAATACATAAATTTATATATTTCAGTTATTACTTATATATTATCGTAATAAGTTCTATTTATGTAAAAAATAAAAATAAATAAGTACTTTTATATATATAGTTTATTTTTTATAAATTAATTATTTAATCAGTTAATTTTATATGTGCGTAAACATAAAAATAAATAAAACAAAGATAAATTTTTAGAATATAAAAACTACTAGTACTAATACTCATGTACAATATGGAAAAACTATAAATATAAATGAATAAGTCGTATATTTTTATTTATTTATCTATGAAACATTAATTTTAAATAGAACTTTTTATTCACATTGAAACTATGTTTACTTATAAATAGTTATTTATTGAAAACAAATTGTATTACATTGCCGTAGATTAAAAAAGTGCCAATAATATAATTTTAAATGTAAAAAAAAAAAAAAAAAAA